ACTTAACCAAACACATTTTCTTGTAGATTTCGAGCTGTAGAACTCATTTCCGGTATCGTTTCTTTTATAAGTGCAACCGTTTTACCGGAATCGACCGTTGAATTACCGAAAATTGTAGAAATCTTCAAAAATTCGCATTTCGTACCGATTATTTCGAAAATGTTACTCCGTGACCATCAACATTGTATATTTTTGTAATCAGCATGTCGAGATCTACGTCCCTGAATTTTTTCACAATTTTTAGACAACTTTTTTAAAAGTGAAAATTTTCCAATGGTCAAATTTTGACATTTTCGAAACTTAACTAAACACATTTTCTTGTAGATTTCGAGCTCTAGAACTCACTTCCGGCATCGTTTCTTTGATAACTGCAACCGTTTTTCCGTAATCGACCGTTGAAATATCGAAAATTTTAGAAATCTTCAAAAATTCGCCTTTCCTATCGATTATTTCGAAAATGTTACTCCGTGACCATCAACATTGTATATTTTTGGAATCAGCATGTCGAGATCTACGTCCCTGGATTTTTTCACAATTTTTAGACAACTTTTTTAAAAGTGAAAATTTTCCAATGGTCCCCCCTTCTTCAAATTTCGGACAAATTTTGACATTTTCGAAACTTAACTAAACACATTTTCTTGTATATTTCGAGCTCTAGAACTCACTTCCGGCATCGCTTCTTTGATAACTGCAACCGTTTTTCCGGAATCGACCGTTGAAATATCGAAAATTTTAGAAATCTTCAAAAATTCGCCTTTTCTGCCGATTATTTCGAAAATGTTACTCCGTGACCATCAACATTGTATATTTTTGTAATCAGCATGTCGAGATCTACGTCCCTGAATTTTTTCACAATTTTTAGACAACTTTTTTAAAAGTGAAAATTTTCCAATTGTCCCCCCTTCTTCAAATCTCGGCCAAATTTTGACATTTTCGAAACTTAACCAAACACATTTTCTTGTAGATTTCGAGCTGTAGAACTCATTTCCGGTATCGTTTCTTTTATAAGTGCAACCGTTTTTCCGGAATCGACCGTTGAATTACCGAAAATGGTAGAAATCTTCAAAAATTCGCATTTCGTACCGATTATTTCGAAAATGTTACTCCGTGACCATCAACATTGTATATTTTTAGAATCAGCATGTCGAGATCTACGTCCCTGAATTTTTTCACAATTTTTAGACAACTTTTTTAAAAGTAAAAATTTTCCAATGGTCCCCCCTTCTTCAAATTTCGGACAAATTTTGACATTTTCGAAACTTAACTAAACACATTTTCTTGTAGATTTCGAGCTCTAGAACTCACTTCCGGCATCGTTTCTTTGATAACTGCAACCGTTGTTCCGGAATCGATCGTTGAAATATCGAAAATTTTAGAAATCTTCAAAAATTCGCATTTCGTACCGATTATTTCGAAAATGTTACTCCGTGACCATCAACATCGTATATTTTTGGAATCAGCATGTCGAGATCTATGTCTCTGAATTTTTTCATAATTTTTAGACAACTTTTTGAAAGTGAAAATTTTACAATGGTCCCCCCTTCTTCAAATCTCGGCCAAATTTTGACATTTTCGAAACTTAACCAAACACATTTTCTTGTAGATTTCGAGCTCTAGAACTCACTTGCGGCATCATTTCTTTGATAACTGCAACCGTCGTTCCGGAATCGATAGTTGAAATATCGAAAATTTCAGAAATCTTAAAAAATTCGGATTTCATACCGATTCTTTCGAAAATCTTGCTCCGTGACCATCAACACGCTATATTTTTGGAATCAGCATGTCGAGGTCTACGTCCCTGAATTTTTTCACAATTTTTAGACAACTTTTTGAAAAGTGAAAATTTTTCAATGGTCCCCCCTTCTTCAAATTTCGGCCAAATTTTGACATTTTCGAAACTCAACTGAACACATTTTCTTGTAGATTTTGAGCTCTAGAACTCACTTCCGGCATCGTTTCTTTGATAACTGCAACCGTTGTTCCGGAATCGACCGTTGAAATATCGAAAATTTTAGAAATCTTCAAAAATTCGCCTTTTCTGCCGATTATTTCGAAAATGTTACTCCGTGACCATCAACATTCTGTATTTTTGTAATCAGCATGTCGAGATCTACGTCCCTGAATTTTTTCACAATTTTTAGACAACTTTTTTAAAAGTGAAAATTTTCCAATGGTCCCCCCTTCTTCAAATTTCGGCCAAATTTTGACATTTTCGAAACTTAACTAAAGACATTTTCTTGTAGATTTCGAGCTCTAGAACTCACTTCCGGCATCGTTTCTTTGATAACTGCAACCGTTGTTCCGGAATCGATCGTTGAAATATCGAAAATTGTAGAAATCTTCAAAAATTCGCCTTTTCTACCGATTGTTTCGAAAATGTTACTCCGTGACCATCAACATTGTATATTTTTGGAATCAGCATGTCGAGATCTATGTCTCTGAATTTTTTCACAATTTTTAGACAACTTTTTTAAAAGTGAAAATTTTCCAATGGTCCCCCCTTCTTCAAATTTCGGCCAAATTTTGACATTTTCGAAAATTAACTAAACACATTTTCTTGTAGATCTCGAGCTCTAGAACTCACTTCCGGCATCGTTTCTTTGAAAACTGCAACCGTTTTTCCGTAATCGACCGTTGAAATATCGAAAATTTCAGAAATCTTCAAAAATTCGCCTTTCCTATCGATTATTTCGAAAATGTTACTCGGTGACCATCAACATTGTATATTTTTGGAATCAGCATGTCGAGATCTACGTCCCTGAATTTTTTCACAATTTTTAGACAACTTTTTTAAAAGTGAAAATTTTCCAATGGTTCCCCCTTCTTCAAATTTCGGCCAAATTTTGACATTTTCGAAACTTAACTAAACACATTTTCTTGTAGATTTCGAGCTCTGGAACTCACTTCCGGCATCCTTTCTTTGATAACTGCAACCGTTTTTCCGGAATCGACCGTTGAAATATCGAAAATTTTAGAAATCTTTAAAAATTCGTCTTTCCTACCGATTATTTCGAAAATGTTACTCCGTGACCATCAACATTGTATATTTTTGGAATCAGCATGTCGAGATCTACGTCTCTGAATTTTTTCATAATTTTTAGACAACTTTTTGAAAGTGAAAATTTTCCAATGGTCCCCCCTTCTTCAATTTTCGGCCAAATTTTGACATTTTCTAAACTTAACTAAATACATTTTCTTGTAGAATCGTTTCTTTGATAAGTGCAACCGTTTTTCCGGAATCGATCGTTGAAATATCGAAAATTTCAGAAATCTTAAAAAATTCGGATTTCATACCGATTCTTTCGAAAATGTTGCTCCGTGGCCATCAACACGCTATATTTTTGGAATCAGCATGTCGAGATCTACGTCCCTGAATTTTTTCACAATTTTTAGACAACTTTTTTAAAAGTGAAAAACTTCCAATGGTCCCCCCTTCTTCAAATTTCGGCCAAATTTTGACATTTTCGAAACTTAAGTAAACACATTTTCTTGTTGATTTCGAGCTCTAGAACTCACTTCCGGCATCGTTTCTTTGATAACTGCAACCGTTTTTCCGGAACCGACCGTTGAAATATCGAAAATTTTAGAAATCTTCAAAAATTCGCATTTCCTACCGATTATTTCGAAAATGTTACTCCGTGACCATCGACATTGTATATTTTTGGAATCAGTATGTCGAGATCTACGTCCCTGAATTTTTTCACAATTTTTAGACAACTTTTTTAAAAGTGAAAATTTTCCAATGGTCCCCCCTTCTTCAAATTTCGGCCAAATTTTGACATTTTCGAAACTCAACTAAGCACATTTTCTTGTAGATTTCGAGCTCTAGAACTCACTTCCGGTATCGTTTCTTTTATAAGTGCAACCGTTTTTCCGGACTCGACCGTTAAAATATCGAAAATTGTAGAAATCTTCAAAAATTCGCATTTAGTACCGATTCTTTCGAAAATGTTGCTCCGTGACCATCAACATTGTATATTTTTGGAATCAGCATGTCGAGATCTACGTCCCTGAATTTTTTCACAATTTTTAGACAACTTTTTTAAAAGTGAAAATTTTCCAATGGTCCCCCATTTTTCAAATTTCGGCCAAATTTTGACATTTTCTAAACTTAACTAAACACATTTTCTTGTAGATTTCGAGCTCTAGAACTCACTTCCGGTATCGTTTCTTTTATAAGTGCAACCGTTTTTCCGGAATCGACCGTTGAAATATCGAAAATTTTAGAAATCTTCAAAAATTCGCCTTTCCTACCGATTATTTCGAAAATGTTACTCCGTGACCATCGACATTGTATATTTTTGGAATCAGTATGTCGAGATCTACGTCCCTGAATTTTTTCACAATTTTTAGACAACTTTTTTAAAAGTGAAAATTTTCCAATGGTCCCCCCTTCTTCAAATTTCGGCCAAATTTTGACATTTTCGAAACTTAACTAAACACATTTTCTTGTAGATTTCGAGCTCTAGAACTCACTTCCGGCATCGTTTCTTTGATAACTGCAACCGTTGTTCCGGAATCGATCGTTGAAATATCGAAAATTTTAGAAATCTTCAAAAATTCGCCTTTCCCATCGATTATTTCGAAAATGTTACTCCGTGACCATCAACATTGTATATTTTTGGAATCAGCATGTCGAGATCTATGTCTCTGAATTTTTTCATAATTTTTACACAACTTTTTGAAAGTGAAAATTTTCCAATGGTCCCCCCTTCTTCAAATCTCGGCCAAATTTTGACATTTTCGAAACTTAACCAAACACATTTTCTTGTAGATTTCGAGCTCTAGAACTCATTTCCAGCATCGTTTCTTTGAAAAGTGCAACCGTTTTTCCGAAATCGACCGGTGAAATATCGAAATTTTTAGAAATTTTCAAAATTTCGCATTTCGTACTGATTCTTTCGAAAATGTTGCTCCGTGGTCATCAACATGCTATATTTTTGGAATCAGCATGTCAATAATAATAACAGTAATAATAATAATTCTAATTTTGTTCGCAGGTGGTGCCGTCGGCCGTCTACACTCCCCCTCCGCCACCGCCGAGATCGAAGGCGACGAGGGCGAAGTGGTCACCATCGACAGCCCCATCATGCCGCAGCACGACATCGTCGCCCTCCTCCAGGAAGCCGCTCCGCTCCCCCAGGACCTCTGCCAAAGCATCCATTCCGATCCAAGAAAGTCCTCCCTCTTGCAATTCGTTCCCTCTTTCATGACCGTCTGGGAGGAGACCTCGGGCGCGTCCACCATCAGCGACAGACACGTCAAGGAGCTCCTCCAGGAGTACCAACAGAAAACCGAAGACGACCTGAACCTCCTCAGCCCCGACAACGACGGTGCCTCCGCGCAGATCACCGACAACACCTACGAGAAATACGAGAAGAGCCACCCGGCCCACGGCGACAAGATGTTCCACCACTTCCTGTCCAAGGTCCAGATGAACCCCAGCCAGATCCTGAGGTACCACCGCGATAACAACTCGCCCCTGCTTTTGTACCCGTTGCAGGGGTTCCAGAATATGTGTAGTTATTGTCAGGGGGAGGTGGTGTTCGAATTCCAAATTCTGCCCACGATTATCCCGAAATTGAGGCTGATCGGGGATGCCAATAATTCTTCAAGACTGGAATTTGGTACTGTTTTAGTGTTTACGTGTCGGCAGAGCTGCTGGTCGACCGACACGAATCTCAAGTATGAGACTGTGGTCGTGCAAACCGAGGTTTATTGAATATTCACGCAATAAATATACATCACACAGCTTGTATTTACTCTGAGTAGGCAATTGGTTTTCGTACAATCTCGAATTGATAGTCAATTAGAGGCGCCATTTGCTGCTGATTATAGAAATAAACTTGAATAAAAAATTGGGGTTTTGTAGGCGTTTTAGATTTGGTTCCAGACGCTTATTCTGTTTTGAGATTAGTGCATCGATGCGACACGTAAGTATGAAACGAAACGAATTAGGAAAATTTTCTGCAACAGCCTTAAGAATGTGTATTTTTTATGTTTACCATCTTTTAAGTAAAAACGTAGTTGTTTAGTCAAGATATGGTTTCAATAATTTGAAAAAAAAACGTCAATTTTGCTTGTTTGAGATTGGTAGAACTGCCAAATTGAGATGTCATAACCTAACTTTCCCGAGAGTTTAAATAAAAGTGACATAGCGCCAAAACTTTGAATCAAGTTTGGCAAGAAGAATTTCGCAGAATTGGAAAAGTGATTCTATTGCCAACTCAAACAGTATTTGTTGATCAGGTTGTGAGAAAATTCAAAATTGTATAAATCTTTTCGTGTTCAATTAAAAAATCACTCAGAGTAGGCGTTGGAATATCATTTGACAGAAACGGCATGTCTGTTCTTACAACATATAACATACAACAGGTTATGTTTGTGTCAAACACCATCAATACCAACTAAAGAAAAATCCATTAAAACATAACCAACTAAACACTAGAGAAGACGTTCAAAATTCCTGCCATGTGCATGTAAGTAAGTTCGTAATGTTTCCAACTGATTTTGGCAATGACATACCCCCTAAGAAAAGAGAGGGTGGGTGGGCGGGGCTAGTAGCTGCCAAGATAAGACTGACTTTGGCAGATGAGGTATTCTCTAAGAAAAGTGAGGGTGGGTGGGCGGGGCTAGTACTTGCTAAGATAAAACTGATTTTGGCAAATGAGATACTTTCCAAGAAAAGAGAGGGTGGGTGGGCGGGGTAGTAGCCAATACCAACAAAAGAAAAATCCATTAAAGCATAACCAACTAAACACTAGAGAAGATTTTCAAAATTCCTGCCTTGTGCATGTAAGTAAGTTCGTAATGTTTCCAACTGATTTTGGCAATGACATACCCCCTAAGAAAAGAGAGGGTGGGTGGGCGGGGCTAGTGTCTGTCAAGATAAGACTGACTTTGGCAGATGAGATATTCTCTAAAAAAAATGAGGGTGGGTGGGCGGGGCTAGTACCTGCTAAGTAAAACTGATTTTAGCAAATGACGTATGTTTTAAGAAATTTAATTAAATTATTATAAGAAAAGACACTAGAGGCTCCAAAGCACTTTCAAATTCTTTCCAAACTTGAATACCTAGAACCTCAATATTGTTTTCAATTTTTCAAAAAAAAAAAAACGGGGTCCCAAAATTAACTCAAAAACAGGTCAGGTCAGAATTTTCAAAAGATAAAACACCAAAGTCCCCCAAAATTGTTTTAAAGGATCAAATCAAAAAAAAAAAAACTACAAAGTGGCCCCGCCCACCCAGCCGATTTTCTTTTTGATCGCTCGTTTTATTGGATGAAAAGTGGATTTTATGTTGATAAACAGTAGAATATAGACCGAAAAGGTAAAATTAACCCCACGCACCTCCAATTTTGGATATCATTGGCTTATTTTATTTACTGTGAAATAAAATTGAATTCTATTTTGTCAAGTGGTCAATCTAATTAAAAAAAAAACTTTAAAGTGGCCCCGCCCACCCACCCCTTTTTCTTTTTTATTTACCGTGAGATGAAAATTTAATTCTATTTTGGCAAGTCGTCAAACCTAATAAAAGAAAAAAAATATAAAACTGTATGATATACCTGATTGTCAAATGGACATTTATGACACTAAATAAATGACGGCCATTTTCTTAACACGTGTGTTAGCGAATTTTACTGGAAATAATATACTTTAGACAAAGTAATGTTGCATCATCAACAAATATTGTTTGAGTTGGCAATACAATTAACCAATTCTGGGAAATTTTTCTTGGACCTATTGCCGAACCTGGTCCACATGCTTGACGATGTCACTCAAGTGCTCAAGAAAGTTAGGTTATGACATTTTAAAAATAATCAATGTCAAATTTTCATTAAATTAAATGTCATTGTCAACCATGTCAATTTTGACAATATGAAGTTAGGTGAGGTGACAGGCTTACCAGTTTCAAGCAAAATTTCGTTGATTACCAACTGAAAGATCACACTATAGAATTCGCACATATTTTCCACCATGTAAAATAAACACGAATTCGTATTTTGAGAAAATTCACAACAAAAATAACCCGATTTAAGGAACTTAACATTAGGAAAAAATGGTGGAGGCGCTGGGATAATTATTTTTAAAAATACAACCTTCTAGAAACTCTGGCATTTTTACAGGGTTTTGTTTGTAGATTCGTACTACTGTCAACTGCCAAATTTATGATATAAAAAAAAACTTGTCAAGTGTGCTTTGGATTGCAGCATTGGCCATTTGTATCATTTTCGTACGAGAAGTGTCAGTATTTATAGTTTGAGGTTATGTAAATCAATGTCAGTGCTGATAACACATATCGACAAACGAACATATTAAATAACACCAGTCAAAAATAACGATACTGCCAACTTTTTTTTAATAAATTGCAAAGCACATTTGACGAGTTTTTTTTTTTATTATGTGACATTATTCTGGTATTTGGTGGATTCGAATTTTAGGTTAAGCAGGGCGCAGTCATGCACAGGAAGTACCAACTGATTTTAAAACTCTATGACCTACTAGATATCAAACATTAATGAAAGCCCTGTATTTTAGACGAACAATTTAAATTTTTTTGTATCAAAATGCGTTTTTTCCATTTTATTCTGAGAAAAATTCAATAAAAATGACTTCTAAGATCGATTTGATAACATTTATTTTTTTGTACAAAAATTGTGGAGTAAAAAAAAATATCTCTAAAAGTTTTAAGGTCTGCCTTGTCTTGAAGTCTAAAGTTGAAAATTACAGACCGATTTTCCTCCTTTTCAATTTTTATAAAATTTTCGAATTAATTCTGCATTCTTATATCTATCCTGTAGTGAAAAGTTATATCTATATCAGAGCATCAACATGGTTTTTAAATTGTAGATCTACAACGAAAAACCTTTAACAAAAAAAAAACATTTAGAAAAATCAGTCTTATCTTAGTAAGTACTAGCCCCGCCCACCCGCCCTTTATTTTTTTAGGGCGGAGCCAAAGTGCAAAATCGATATTTCCAAATTTTCCATTTTAAACATGTTTTAAGTTTCATGTCGTGAAAAGAAGTCTACACATATTAAAACACAAAGACAAAATGTAAGCCCGCCCACCCGCCCGATCTCAATTGTGATGATTTTTTTATTCGCCGTTATCAAAGAAGGGCGGAGCTTAACTGCAAAATACTTATTTTTTTACAATAAATTAAAAACATGTTTTTGAGTATCGTGTTGTTCAAAGGATACTATGCACATTAAGAAAAATAAACCCCGCCCACCCACCCCATCTCAATTGTGATGATTTTTTTATTTTTAGAAACTTAAAACACGTTTAAAATGGTCAATTTTTTTTAAATGTGGCATCAGGGAAGGCTTTGGAAACAGAAGATGTGAAAGACGTAGAGCGTAGTTTAACTATTTTTTATATGAATGTTACTGTCATTGAGATAAATTGAGGTTAAACCAATTAAACTACGCCCTACATCTTTCAGATCTTTTGTTTCCAAAGCCGCCCCTAATGTCCAGTTTAAAAAAATCATACGATATTTAAAACAAGTAGACTTGAAATGCTACAATCTGACATTTGTTGTTCCAACCACCACAAAATTCCCCAAACTCTTAAAAAATTTAAGGATTGGTATTCCTGACTTCATAACCGTGGAACGATAACACAAATCTTATTTCTTTCTTCTTTATTTAACGTCAGATTTGACATTTGTCCGAACTCGTGCCAACATTCGACAGTAACTTGTATACTTGCATAGCTGCCAACTAAGGCTGTCAAAAATAACTACATTTATTTTGATGTTTTTAATAAAAAAATACATATTACAAAAAAACTTGTTTAAAAAATAAACAAATGTCAACGAGTCGCATTTACATACAAACAACGAACGATTTTCTTGTCCATTTTTAACAAACTGTCACTGTTGCAGAAAAAATTGTGTGCAAAGTGTGCGCAAAATTCTTTTCACGACTCACTCACCACCAAGTGTCGCATCGTGGCACTGTCAACAAAACATTTTCTCCTAAATTTCCATAATTGACTACAAAAGTTAGTTTCGGTAGGCACGAAAAAATATAAGCGACTATAAAAAGTTTATTCGTCAATTTTCAGCTACAGTCGTTCTTTTACATATGTGGACCTTTTGCTCCCCTTTGTTGCAGGAAATCGTAGTACACGTTGACACATAACCCGTTTTGCAGGTGATATTACATGTAGTACATAGTTCATCAATTGAATAAATGATTTAAGTCTAAGTGATATCTACAACTATTGTAACCATAAAACTTCACGCAATGCCACTTTCCGTAGACAAATATCTCGTTCTTTGTCCACACCCTAGAAACTGACAACTATTTTTTAAGAGCTGTTCACACTTGTGTGATATTAATCTTAATAAAGACTTATTTACAATGAGTATGTGTGTTTTTGACCTAGACGTTCCTTCTGGGTACCCTTATGTAGATGATCCGTCTGTTTTCAGAGGGATGGATTAAGTCGCTTTTATGCCGCCAATCCCACCTGTCCTGTTCCTCGCGCCTGCGCTTTCTATCCACGTAGTTGATCACGCAGCTCGTCGGTATCCACAACAAAGCCGTCACCAAAACGACAGTTCCAACTATGTTATCTCTCAAAAACAACAAAACTTTATTTATATTAATATCTTCAATGATATCCCAAAATCGCTCGACTACATCTTGCACGGTTTTCTCACAGTGACCCTACAAGTCCTCACTTTACTAACCCCTGGAAGTCACCCTCAAACTCACCTTGTTGCAAAACCCCTGTATACACGGTGTCCCATCAGCCAGAATATCCGGCGGCTCCACAGGCGAGCACGTCTCGTTGATGTTGGAGCGGCAACACCGCTTACACGCATCCACAACTAAACATGACTTAAGTCACACGAGATTTTAGCCGGTTATGTTGGTACTTACTTATATCGCACATGCAGCTCTGCAGCCCCTGCGTCTCGCAAAACGGGATACATTTACCCCCTTTGCACTTGCCGCGCTCCTGGCAGCTCGTGCCGTCGTCCATGGGGGGACTCTTGGGGCACTCCGCCTGCGTGCCCGTGCACTTAGACTCTTGTTCGCAAGTGGCGTATTGCGCCTCCCTGCACTTCACGTCGCTAGTCATGTACTGACAGTTCTGGCAACAGGGGGAGTTCTTGTCACTGCAAACAGCTTTGGGGCGCAGCTTGCAGTCTTTGTCGCAGCAGGAGTCGTTATCTTCGGTGCCTAGGAGCCCGGCGTCGCACTCCTCGTCGCCTTCGACGCGCAAGTTGCCGCAGAAGCTCTCTTCGGGCTCGGAGAAGCAGCGGCCGGATTTGGCCTGGAGGACTTTGCGGATGGAGCGCAGACTGCATGGAGAAAAGCGCTACAGAAAAATTCAAGGTGGTGAAAACAAGCTGGTGCTTTGAAGGTGGTACGTACTTTGTTGTTGACGTCGTAGCCGCTCACGCTGTAGGTGTACATGAGGTAGGAGCCGCCTTGGCTTGCGCTTGGGGAACACTCGGGGATGTCGGGGTCGTGTTCGGAGCCCCAATTGTGGCCGAATTCGTGCGCTGTGACTAGATCGGCTTCTCTGGTTATCACTCTTTGACCGTAGTGATTGCGGCTTGAACTTAAGCCGGAGTTTAAGTAAAGGGTGTAGCCGTTTTTGAAGTATTCTGCAGAGTTTACACCAAGTTAGTGCGTTTTTGGAACCACTATGAGCGTTTTGAGATCGATCTGTCAAATTCATGGCCTACTAAGGGACTTTGTTTCGATCGATTGGTTATTTTTTAAATTCCGGGTGGTTATTAATGACTGAAGCACATTTTGTGTTGGCAGCAATGCTAGTATGTCAATTTACATTTGTCAAGTTTGACACGAGCGCCTAACAAATGTTTCAGTTGGCAATAGAATTAAGCAATTCTGGGAAATTTTTCTTGGGCTGCTGTTGCCGAATCTGATCCAAATGCTTAGCGATGTCACTTTTAAGTGCTCAAGAAAATTAGGTTATGACATTTTAATAATAATCAACGACAAATTTTGATTTAAATTAAATGTCACTGTTAAACAGTGACAACATGAAGTTAAGTGAGGTGACAGCTTTACCAGTTTCAAGCAAAATTTCGTGATACCAACTGAAACAGTAATTGTAAATCGCGCTCTAGAATACGTACATATTTAAACCGAGTAAAAGCCATTTCGGGTCAATTTGTACAATTTTAATCGGTTTTTTGACAAAATTTCCAACAAAAAAAATCTCTTTTGAGATCGCTTTAAGGAACTTTAACATTACGAAAAAATGGTGGAGGCGTCGGGATAATTATTCACTTCTACAGGAGAATTTTGTTTGTAAGTTGGTGCTACTGACAGACTGTCAAGTTCAAGTTGAAATTTGACGTTTCATATCGAAGTCGCCGTGTGCTTTGGATTTTTTTAATTGTATTGCCAGCATTGGCGATTTCTGTCATTTTCGTATGAGAAGTGCAACATTTATATTCTCTGGTAATGTAATCAATGTCACTGATAAAAAAATAACGTCACACTGATGATCTAGTAGACTGTGTGGTTTGACAGTTACGGTCAAATAACTGTCAAACAAATTAAATAAAATGATAATTTCACGTGGATATTCTTGAAATGGCAGTTCACAGTTGACAAACAGGTTTGCCACCATAAAATTTGAAAAATGTTGCTAATATGACAAAAAAAGCATGTTTGCTATTTTCTGAAGCGATAGAGTGAAAGTAAGCACAGATTCGTGATTCTGAGATTTCAAGTAGAAAGAATGCCTTCTAAGACCGACTTCATGGACTTTAATTTATTTCATTTATTAAAATATGCTCTGGATTTTTTTTAATTACATTGCCAGCATTGGTGATTTCTATCATTTTCGTATGAAAAGTGTCACGTTTACATTTCGAGGTTCTGTAAATCAATGTCAATGACAAAAGACAACGTCAAACTGACAGATTTAAATAACGTTAGTTAAAAATAATGACACTGACATGTTTTTAAATAAATTCCAAAGCACACTTGACAAGCTTTTTTCGATCATGTGGCATTACTGTGGTATTTGACGTATTAGAAATTTAGGTTAAGCAGATAGAGACGGATGGGTGGGGCTTACTTTGTATAACAAGATTATTTAAGAACATATTTCACATGGCTTAGAAAAATAAAGATTTTTTAAGCTCCGATTCTCGGCTTACGACCAATAAAAAAATCGTCCGAATAGAGACAGGGCGGGTGGGCGGGGTATATATTTTGCCTTTTTTTTTTTCTTAATATACATAGCCATCTTTTCATAACAAGAAACTTAAACATGGTTAAAATGGTTTTTGCAAGGAAATATGGATTTTGCAATTATGGCAAAATCGATATTTGCTTACACAAATTTACCATTTTAAACATGTTTTAAGTTTCATGTCGTGAAAAGAAGTCTAATATGTGTTAAAACACAAAGGCAAAAAGTAAGCCCACCCACCCGCCCTATCTCAATTGTAATGATTTTTTATTCGCCGTGAACCAAGGGGGCGGAGCTTAACTGCAAAACACTTATTTCTTTTCAAAGAATTAAAAACATGTTTTTGAGTATCGTGTTGTTCAAAGAATACTATGTACATTGAGAAAAATAAACCCCGCCCACCCACCCCATCTCAGGCTCCGCCCCTTGGTCTGGCAACGAATCAAAACTTTATTACTATTTCGATCAGGGAAGGTATGGGTGGGGCTTAATCTTTCTTAATATACATAGTCTTTTTTGAAAAACACGTCTGACATGGTAATTTCTTGTAGAGAAATAATAAGAATTTTGCAATTAAATTCCTCTCCTAGGTCTCTTGACTATTAAAAAAAAAAATCATCAGAATTGAGACAGGGCGGGTGGGCGGGGCTTATATTTTGCCCTTTTTTCTTAATATACGTAGTCGTCTTTTCAGAATTTAATTACTTGGGTTAAAAATGCAACAATCAAAGACAAACTTGCAAAAACCCATGGCTGCCTTTGATTGTGATTTTTATTGCTCTCGCCGTATATTTTATCCGGAATAATGCATTTCTGTAATTTTCTAAAGATTTGATCAATAGAATACGCGCATATATATATATATATAGGCTCTGGAAACGCAAGATGTGACACGTAGAGCGTAGTTTAACTATTTTTTATATAAATGTTACTGTCATTGAGATAAATGAGGTTAAACCGATTAAACTACGCCCTACGTCTTCCAGATCTTTTGTTTCCAAAGCCAGTTTAAAAAATCATACGATATTTAAAACAAGTAAAGTTGAAATGTTACAGTCTAACATTTGTTGTTGCAAGCACCACAAAATTCCCCAAAATCTTAAAAAAAATTAAGAATTGGTACTCCTGACTTCTTAATATTTGCTTATACAAATTTTCCATTTTAAACATGTTTTAAGTTTCATGTTGTGATAAGAAGTCTACACATATTAAAACAAAAAGGCAAAATAATAATAATACCGATAGAACATTAAAAAACACGATCAAAGGCAGCCATGGATTTTTGAAGGTTTGTCTTTGATAGAATTTTCGTCTTGTCCAACAGGTTGCCGTCAATTTGCCAGCTTGAGTTGAAAATGCAACAATCAAAGACAAACTAACTTCAGTAGTTTAATATTTTTTTATGTAAATGTCACTGTCATTGGGATAAATTGAGGTTAAACCAATTAAACTACACCTTGCGTCTTTCACATCTTTTGTTTCAAAGCCTCCCCTCATGTCCAATTTAAAAAAGCATACGGTATTTTTCAGTTTTCGGTTTTTGTTGCATCGATTATAATTTTTGGATTTTCCAACTTTTCGTTTCGGTTTTTCGATTACCAACTTTTCTAATTTTTAGTTTTAAATATTTCAATTTTCCAACTTTCGAACTTTTTAGTTACTTAGATTTTTCCATTTTTAAATTTGTAGATTTTTAATTTTTGAATTTTTCAATTTTTCGATGTTCCAGTGTTAGAATTTTTCGATTAAAATTTTTCTTTTTTCGATACTCATATTTCTCGATTTTTTCAGTTTGTCGACTTATAGTTTTTCAGCTATTCCATTTTTCGATTTTTTAGTTTTACAATTTTTCGAATATTCTCAAATTTTTGAAATTTGCGATTATTCAGTTTTTCGATTTTTTAGTTTTCCGAATGTTATTTTGCAATTTTTGACTTTTATAATATTTAGATACGTATTTAAAATTTTGTTTTTTTTAATATATCAGTTTTTCGCTTCGAATTTTATTTATACAATTTGCAATTTTTACTTTCTCGATTTTTCAATTAAAATTTTTTGTAGTTATCATTTTTAAATTCATCGATTTTTTAACTTCCGAATTTTTCAATTTTTCGGTGTCACCATTTTTCGATAAGAAAATTTTCTGGTTTTAATTTTTAAATTTTTCGATTAGCAACTTTTTTAGTTTTCAGTTTTAAATATTTCAATTTTTCAACTTTGGAAATTTTTAGTTTTTCGATTTTTAATTTTTCAATACTTGGATTTTTTGTTTTTCAATTTTTTGATTGGGGATTTCTCTTATCTCCATTTTTAAATTTTTAATTTTTGCTTTTTCAATGTTTCAATGTTAAAATTTTTCAGAGTCAGATTTGTAACGTCAAATTTACAGATTTAAATAACCCCAGTCAAAAATAATGATAGTACCAACATAATTTTTTTTTTTTTATATAAATCCCAAAGCACACTTGGCAAGTTTTTTTCGATCATTTGGTATTATTGCAGTTTTTCTGGAAAATGCAGAAAATCCCAAAGTCCAGAAAATCCAGGAAATTCAGAAAACATGTACAGTTTCGGCCACAAAATCTTGGGCAGTTCTGTCATTCCAATGACAAGCTCTAAAACAGGCTTTACGTACTTATAACCTCAAATTGGCCATGTATGTCATTTTGACGTAGACTGGAATGTGGATGATGACGTACGTCAAAATTTATTTTTTAAAAGTGTCAATCATTATGACAATAAAGCTTAGAATACATCGTGTTTTTTTTTAAATGACAGAAAAATACTGCCCAAGATTTTCTGGCCGAAACTGTAATATCTGAAAAAATTGGAAAATCCAGAAAATTGGAAAATCAGAAGATGTGAAAAATATGGAAAATGTGGAAAATTCAGCTGATCCAGAAAATCCAAAAAATCTGGAAACTACAAAATCTGGAAAAGTCAGAAGATCCGGAAAATCTGGAAAATCCACAGAATCTGGAGAATCCCCAAAATCAGGAAAATCTAGAAAATCCAGAAAATCTAAACAAATTCACAAAATTTAATCAAAACCACAAAAATTCCAGAACTTCAAAAAAATCCAAACAAAAAACAAAAAATCGAAACAATCTAAAAAAATCCAAAAATTGCAAAAAATCTAAAAAAAACCTAAAAAATTAGAAAAACCCAAGAAACTCAAAAAATCAAAAAAATTCAAAAAATCCAACAAAATCCAAAAATTTAAATTAAAATAATACCGAGAGAGCAATAAAAAACACGATCAAAGACAGTCACGGATTTTTGAAGATTTGTCTTTGATAGAATTTTCGTCTTGTCCAACAGGTTACCGCCAATTTGACAGCTTGAGTTGAAAATGCAACAATCAAAGACAAACTTGCAAAAACCCATGGCTGTCTTTGATCGTGAGTAGTTTAATAATTTTTTATATAAATG